TTAAGGTACACTAATTGAAATGAAGAATAATTTAGAGGGAATCAACAGTAGAATAGATGAAGCCAAGAATAAAATTAGTGATTTGGAATATAGAAAAGAATATAGGAATTCCAAAAATTCCTGGAATTTGTCAGAATATAGGAATTCAAAAAAAGTGATAAAAAAATTGAAGATGGTGTGAGAAGCCACTGGGGCAACTACAAGTGTACCAATATTTGTAACATGGAGGTTTCAGAAGGAAAACAATAGATCCAGAAATTGAAAACTTTTTTGAAAAAATAAATATCAGTAAACTTCCCTAATGTGGTAAAGGAAATAGACATACAAGTCCAGGAAATACAGAGATCCCCAAACAAGATGACCCCAAATTGGGACACACCAAGACACATCATAATTGAAATGCAAAAGGTTAAAGACAAAAACAATATATTAAAAGCAGCAAGAGAAAAGCAGTTACTTGCCTACATGGGAGCTCCCATAAGACTGTCAGCTGTTTTTTCCCTTTAGGACAGAAGACAGTGGCAAGAAATATTCAAATCAATGAAAAGAAAAAAATCTACAACAAAAATGGCCTACCCAGTAAACCTATCCTTTACAGTCAAAGGACAGATAGAGAGAACTTCCCAGACAAGAAAAAGCTAAAAGAATTCATCACCACCAGATCAGTATTATATGAAATGATAAAATGTCTTCTATAAGAATAAAACAATAAAAAATATGAATATAATGCCAACAAGTATATATCTACCAACAATTGAATCTAAAAAAACCCAGAATAAATTAATAAGAACAAAAACAAATGCAGAGATACAAAAAAACATTTTAGTATTCTGTTATTAACTAGTGTTATAGAAATGGTTATTAAATAAAATTAATATGCTGTTATCCTTCCCTGAAAGATCTCTAAATAACTTAAAATGAGATTAGTTTAGGTTGGATACTCCTGGTCAAGATGGAAGCATAGGTAAATACACTGTGCCTCCTCTCACAACCAAAAGAAGGACAACAACAAATTTAAGAATAAAAAACAATCAGAACTGACAGAAAATTTACCTGCATGGAAGTTTGACAACCAAGGAGTTAAAGAAGAAACATTCATCCAGACCTGTAGGAGGGACGGAGACAGGAAGCTAGGAGGAGTCACAGCAAGGTGGCTGCTGGTGGAGTGGGCAGTCCCATATTTGTGTGCAGATAAACCAGAAGGAAAAACTAGGGAGCAAGACAGACCTCACAACCCAGGATTCCAGTGCAGGGAAATCAAGTCTCAAAACCTCTTACTAGAAAATTCTGTGGGGGCTTAGGCAGTGGGAGAAACTCCCAGCATCACAGGAGAGTCTGTTGGACAGCTCCATGGGTCCTAGAACACAAAAACACCCAACCAGGAATCGGCACCACAAGGGCCCAATTTGCTTGAGGGTAGTGGGGGAAAGGACTAAAAGCTGGCAGAGAGCTGAAAAAGAGGCATTGTTCCCCCTCCAAACTCTCCCCCATATACAGCACCATACAAGGACCTGGGTTGCTATGTCTCTGCTCCTTACCTGAGGCTCTGCCCCTTACCTGTACAGCCTCACTGAGACAAAAAAAAATAATAATAATGGTCCAAATGAAAGAAGAGATCAAAGCTCCAGAAAAAATACAACTAAGAGACAAAGAGATAGCCAACCTATCAGATGCACAGTTCAAAACACTGGTTATCAGGATGATCACAAAAATGACTGAGTATGGTCACAAAATAGAGGAAAAAATGAAGACTTTTTAGTGAAAAGTGAAAATAGAGGAATAAAGTAAAATGTACAGGGAATCAACAGTGAAGGGAAGGAAACAAGGACTCGGATCAATGGTTTAGAGCAGAAAGAAGATAGAAACATTCAACCAGAAGAGAATGAAGAAGCAAGAATTCAAAAAAAAATGAGGAGAAGCTTAGGAACCTTCAGGACATCTTTAAACATTCTAACATCCCAATCATAGGGGTACCAGAAGGAAAAGAGGAAGAATAAGAAAATGAAAACTTATTTAAACAAATAATGAAGGAGAACTTCACCACTCTGGGAAAAGAAATAGACTTCCAGGAAGTCCAGCTCAGAAAGTACCAGAGAAGTTGGACCAAGGAAGCACACACCAAAGCACATCATAATTGCATTACCCAAGATTAAAGAGAAGGAGAGAATCTTAAAAGCAGCAAGAGAAAAAAGAGATAGTTACCTACACAGGAGTTCCCATTAGACCCTCAGCTGATTTCTCAAAAGAAACTTTTCAGGCAAGAAGGGGATAGAAAGAAGTATTAAAAGTTATGAAAGGCAAGGACCTACATCCAAGATGACTCTATCCAGCAAAGCTATCATTTAGAATGGAAGGGCAGATAAAGTGCTTCCCAGATCAAGTCAAGTTAAAGGACATCATTACCAAGCTCTTATTATATGAAATGTTAAAGGGACTTATTTAAAATTAAGAAGATGATCAAAAATATGAACACTAAAATGATAAAAAATTCACAACTATCAACAACTTAACCTAAAAACAAAAACAAAAACAAAAATGAATGAAGCAAACAACTAGATCAGGAACAGAATCACAGTAATGGAGAGCACATGGAGGGTTATCAGCAGGGAAGAGGTGGGGGGAAATGGGGGAAAAGGTACTGGGGGGTGGGCTGGGATGGAAGTAAAAAACAGAAAACTGTACTTGAACAATAATTAAATTTAAAAAAAGAAAACTGAAAAAAAGATACAAGGAATAAGTAACATAAATGGTAGGTAGAAAATAGACAGGGGGAGGTTAAGATTAGTATAGGAAATGGAGAGGCCAAAGAATTTATATGTATGACCCATACACATGAACTAAGGTCGGGGGGATGTGGGTGGGAAGGGTGTGCAGTGTAGAGGGGAATAAAGGGGAGGAATGGGACAAATTTAATAGCATAGTCAATAAAAATACTTTAAAAATAAAAAATGAGATTAGGTTAATATTAAGTTCAAAATATACAGAATAGGCTGAGGTGATTTGTAAAAAGAAAAACTGCTCATCCAACTGAAAAACTAAGAAAAACTTGTAGTTAGGATTAAGAATCATATTTTTAAGTAAACCCATGCCTATTAAGAATTTAAATGGTGGGGTAGCACTGCTAAATTATGTCTATGAAAGCCATCTTTTTAATAGATGGCAGTTAATCTTTCTAATTCCTGCTTGTCACCAGGTCATTTCTGACAATAATCATAGGATGATACCCACTCTCAATGCTGAGATCCAAATTCAAAGATTTACCTTGTACATAGGTCTTCTATTATTCCCTTCTTATGCATGCACCCCTCTGTGCCTCATGAAAATTCCAGGACCTCTTTCCCTGACTCTGTGCAGTTTACTCCCTACTCATGTATGCTTTGCTTTTATGTCTGTTTTCAAAAACACTCAAGAAGATTTCTCCTATAATAATCTTTTCCCTAAAACCTAGTTCTCCTTATTCAACCATTTACTTCTTGATTCTGTTATTTTCAGTGTTCCTGAAAATACATGCACTGGTGTCGAATATATATGTCCTTGAATTTCATCTGTTTCCACTAGCTGAGTGAACTTAAATAAAAAACTTACTATTAATCTCAGTTCTTCTTCTATAGAATGCAATTCCATAACTATCTAACTCACAGACTTATGATTATAAAGATGAAATAAATGAGTTAATGAATGAAAAATTCAACTTAAGCAATATTTCTTAAAGGGAGTTTCAAGAAATATTAATTCCACAAAATCTTCTTTAGTCAAAGGGGATAACATGGTTAAATCACTTTACTAAACAGAACATCTGATGCTAACTTCTCAGTCAGCCATGATGTACATTAACACATTAAAAGCTCTACAAAGACTTGTAAGAAAACAAAACAAAACAAAAAGTTGGCCTAACATTCTCTATATGGACTTCACCAGAGAGCCTTTGTGTGCATAGGAGCTATTTAAAATCCTGCAGAACCAGTGTTCTGAGGAAGGCGTCTGAGAAAATGCTGACTTGGAAAAGAACCAGTTATCATTTTAAAAGTTATTTCAGCCTCAGGTTTCCAACAGTTTTCAAAAAAAATTGTGAAAGAGGCTTCCTCCTAATGTTCAGAGCCATCACAATCCCTCAGAAAAATGAACCACATTGCCCTGTGGGAGGCTGTGCCAGAAGGGTAGTACTATGGTATTAACTTTCCAAGGCCAATTATTTTTTGAAAATCTCTTAAAGTATATGAAAAATTTCTACTTTTCATGTGATTCCCAGTAATTGCTTATCCAGACAGCAGCAGATGTGAAACTTCATCCCATGAGAAAAGTTTAACATAATATGTGAAAATCTGATAAAGAGTGGGAAGATCTCAGGGGAGAGTTGGGAAATGGAGAGGCCCCTGTCTATGGTGAAGGAAGGATGGAGATGTGGTCACTATCTGTGAGCTCTAATACATCCACCACCAAAAGCAAACTGTTTACCAGGTACAGAGGTAAATGGCAATAATGACATGTGGAGCAATTGTCTCAATGTCACAAACTGAAGGCCACCAAATTTTAGATGGCACAGTAGGAATTTCACAGTAATTTAACTTTTCTCTTTTAAATGGGAGTGAAAATCAGTATTGCTCACATTTACTGCTCATATGGGCCTTTTCTTCTCTACCATGACATCCTTAATTTTTCACAAACATCTTCATCAAAAAGTGCTTTTCAAATAAACTAGCATTCCTAAAATCACATTGGTCATTTCTATTTATTCATGTTTGGAGTCCATCTATTAAACAGAATAAACTTAGCTTCCTTATATCAGTCTTATTTTTTAAAGCATATTATAAAAAGATGTTGTGAGATCAAAAAATTACTATCATGATAACTTCTTCAACAATGTTCACAGTTTTATTTTTTAAAAAAGTAAGCAAAATAGCCTATCATTATCAACCACCCCTATTTCAATTTTAGTTTTCATAGGCTATAAACATTCAAATTTATTTTAATATAAGTACCCCACATTAATAGTAAGATGTGTGTTTGCTTCAGCAGCACATATACTAAAACTGGAGTGATACAGAGAAGATTAGCATGGCCCTTGTGCAAGAATGATATACATGCAAATTCATAAAGCATCCCATATTTTTATGACAGAAAACTTCCCTAACTTGATGAGAGAAAAAGTCACATAAGTCCAGAAAACAGAGGGTCCCAAACAAGATGAATCCAAAGAGTCCCACTCCAAGACACGTCATAATTTAAATGGCAAAATTTAAAGACAAAGAGAGAATCTTAAAGGCAGCAAGGGAGAAATAGCTAGTAACATACAGGGGAGCTCAATAAGGTTAGCAGCTAATATGTCAGCATAAACACCATAAGCCAGAAGGGAATGGCAAGAAATATTCCAAGTATGAACAGCAAAGGCCTGCAACCAAGACTACTCTACCCAGAAAGACTCTCACTTAAAGTGGAAGGTGAAATATGAAGTTTCCCAAACAAACAAAAAGCTAAAAGAATACATATCCATCAAACCAGCACTGCAAGACATGCAAGAGGGACTGCTTTAAGAAGATGAAGAAAAAGAGAGAGACACAAGAACACAGGTACAAAGGGGAAAATGGCAATGAATAAGTACCTATCAATAATAACCATAAATGGAAAGCATTAAATGCTCCAGTTAAAGACATAGGGTAGCTGATGGATAAGAAAACATTACTCACATATATGCTGTTTACAAGAGACCCACCTCAACAAAATACCTACACATACTGAAAGTGAAGTACTGGTAAAAAATAATCTAAGCACATGAACCTGGAAAAAAAGATAGGGCAGTGATACTTGTATTAGACAAAATATATTTCAAAACAAAGCCCATAAAAAGAGACAAAGCCCCCTGGGTGGAAGGGATGAGAGGTGATTTTCTTCCACTCTTTCTCCTTCCCTTCCCCTCTCTTAGAAAATATTTTTAAGATTTTAAGAGACAAAGAAGGACACCTCAAATAACTTAAGGGAATAATCCATCAAGAAGTTATAACTCTTGAAAACATATATGTACCCAACATAGGAGCACTCAAGTAAATTAGGAAAAATTTGGAGGACTTCAGGAAAGCTATCCACAGCAACACACTCATCATAGGGGATTTTGACACCCCATTGTCAGCAATAGAGAGATCTTCCAAAGTAAATATCAACCAGCATATTGTGGCACTGAACAACACTCTAGGTCAAATAAACTTAATTGATATATACAGAAATTTTCACCCCAAAAAAGCAAAATACACGTTCTTTTCAAATGTATATGGATCATTTTCAAAGATAGACCATATAGTAGGACACAAAACAAGCCTCGAAAAATTCAAGAAACTTGAAATCACATCAAGCATCTTGGATCACAATGGCTTGATCCAAGCCATTGGATGGAAACTAGAAACAAACCTCAAAGGAAAAACTCAAAAACATTCAAATACATGGAGACTGAATGACATGTTATTAAACAGTGAATGGGTTAACACTGAAATCAAGGAAGAAATAAAAAAAACTTTCTGGAAACAAATGGAAATGAACACACAACAGCTCAAAACCTATGAAACACAGCAAAGGGAGTCCCGAGAGGGAAGTTCTAGGCTGTACAGGCTTACTTAAAAAAATAGAAAAATCACAAATAAACAACCTAATCCTATATCTACAAGAACTGGTGGAACAACAACAAAGTCCAGAGTGAGAAGAAGGAAAGACATAATCAAGATCAGAGCAGAATTAAATGACATAAAAACTAAAAGAACAGTTCAAAGCATCAATAAATCCAGGAGCTGGCTCTTTGAAAATTGGCAAGCCTTTAACCAGATTCATCCAGAAAAAAAAAAGAAGAGAGGACCCAAAAAACTGAAATCAGAAATGAAAGAGAAGTTAAAATCAATACCACAGAATTCTAAAGGATCTTAAGCAATTACTACAAACAAGTGTATGCCAAGATATTTGACAACTGGGGTGAAATAGACAAATTTATAGAATCATATAATCTTCCAAAACTGAATCAAAAAGAAGCCAAAGCCTGAATACACTGATAACACCTAGTGAAGTTGAAACAACAATCCAAAAACTCCTGGCATACAAAATCCCAGAACTAGACAGTTTCACAGGCAAATTTTACCAAACATTTAGGGAAGAACCAACTCCTATTCATCTCAAACTATTCCAAAAAATTCAAGAAGAAGAAAAACTCCAGAACTCTTTCTATCAGGCCAGTGTTATCCAAATTCCAAAACCAGGTAAAGATACAACAAAAAAAGAAAACTACAAGCCAATACCTCTGATAAGCATAGATGTGAAAATCCTCAACAAAATATTGGCAAACCAGATCTAGTAATGCATTAAAAAATGATGATCAAGTGGGATTCATCCTAGGGATGCAAGGATGGTACAATATTCAAAATTAATAAACAATACACCACGTAAAATGAAAGACAAAAATAACATGATCACATCAATAGATGCTGAAAAAGCATTTGATAATATAAGCACCCATTTATAATAAAACCTCTCAACAAAGGGGGAGTAAAGGGAGCATATGTCAATATAATAAAGACCACACATGAGAAACCTACAGCCAACAGCATACTCAATGGCAAAAACTTAGAGCTTTCCCACTAAGATCAGGAACAAAACAAAGATGTCCACTTTCACCACTTTTATTCAAATAGTATTGGAGTTTTAGCCACAGTGATCATACAAGTAAAAGAAATAAGAAGCATCCAAATAGAAAAGAAGGAAAACTGTCATTATTTTCAGATAACATGATAGTGTCAGGGGTGTTCAACCCTCTGCCCGCAGGCCGCATGCAGTTCAGGATGTCTATGAACATGGCCCAACACAAAGTCATGGATTTACTTAAAATCTTTTTATTTTGCTCATCAGCTTTCATTAGTGTTTGTGTATTTAATGTGTGGCCCAAGACATTAGAAGAACTCTTCTTTTTCCAATGTGGCCCAGATATGACAAAGGTTGGACATCCCTGGTATACACAGAAAATTCTATAAGCTCCACCAAAAAAACTACTCAACTTAACCCAATACATTAATTTGGCAAAATAGCAGGTTACAAAATCAATATCTAAAAATTGAAGGTATTTTTTATACCAACAATGAAATACCAGAAACAGAAATTAGGAAAAAAATCCCATGTGTTTCCAAGAAAAATAAAGCAACAAGAAAAATAAAGTACCTAGGAATAAATTTAACCAAGGAGGTAAAAGACCTGTACTAAGAAAACTACAGAATACTGAAGAAAGAAATTAAGGAACATACAAATAAATGGAAGCATATACCATGTTCACAGATTGAAGGAATTAACATCATTAAAATGTCCATACTACCCAAAGAAATCTATAGATTTAACATAATCCTTATTAAAATACCAATGATATATTTCACAGATTTAAAACAAATATTTCAAAAATTTATAAGGAACCAAAAAAAGACTCAAAATGGCCTCAGAATTCTTGAGAAATAAGAACAAAGTAGGAGGGATCACAATACCTGATATCAAAATATATTACAAGACCACTGTAATCAAAACAGTCTGGTACTGATATGACATAAATAAAGCAACAAACAACAAATGTTGGAGAGGTTGTGGGGAAAAAGGGGCTCCTAGTTCACTAATGGTGGGATTGCAGACTGGTACAACCACTATGGAAAACAGTATGGAATTCTGTCAGAAAACTAAAAATGAATATGCCTTTCAACCTAGCAATTCCACTGCTAGAATTATATCCTAAGAACCCTGAAATAGCAGTCCAAAAGAACCTATGCACCCCAATGTTCATAGCAGCACAATTTACAATAGCCAAGAGTTGGAAGCAACCTAGGTGCCCATCAGTAAATGAATGAATCAAAAAATTATGGTACATATACACAATGGAATCTATACAACAGAAAGAAAGAAGGAGCTACTACTCTTTGCAACAGCATGGATAGAACTGGAAAGCATTACTGAGTTGAGTGAAATAAGCCAGGCATTGAAAGACAAATACCATATAATCTCGCTTTTAACAGGAAGCTAAACAACAAAACAAACAAACAAGCATAATATAACCAAAGACAATGAAATAGAGAACAGGCTGACAGGGACCAGAGGGGAGAGGGGAGGGAATTTCTGGGGAAAAGGGGAAGGATTCACAGGAACAAGTATAAAGGACACATGGACAAAAACTAAAGGGGGTGGAAATGGGGAGCACTGTGAGGGATGGGCTGGGATGGGAGTAAAAGACAGAAAATTGTACTTGAACAATAATTAAATTAAAAAAATTTAAAAATGTTTAAAAACACTCTGGTACTGATGTAAGAACAAATACATAGATTAATGGAACAGAATAGAGAGTCCATAAATAAACCCAAGTCTCTATGGTCAATTAATATTTGACAAAGGGGGCAAGAGCGTAAAATTGAGTTAAAATAGCCTCTTCAGTGGTGTTGGTAGACCTAGACAGCTACATGCAAAAAAATGAAGCCAGACAATTTATACCACATACCAGAATAAACTCAAGGTGGATAAAAGACTCAAATATAAGCCATGACACCATAAGAATCCCAGAGGAAGACATAGGCAGTAAAATTACAGATGTCACACACATCAATATTTTTTCTGATATATCTTCTAGGGCAAGGGAAGTAAAAGAAAGAATAAACAAATGGGACTACATCAAACTACAAAGCTTCTGCATAGCTAAAGAAAACATCATCAAAACGAAAAGGTTACCAATGGTATGGGAAAACATATTTTTCCAATGATACCTCAGAAAGGGTTTGATTTCTAAAATATATAAAGAACTTGTACCGGGAAGACAAACAATCCAATTAAAAAATAAGCAAAGAACCTCAACAGACATTTCTCCAAGGAGGACATATGGATGGCTCATATGACACAGGAAAGGATGCTCAACATCACTATTCATCAGAGAGATGCAAATTATAACAACAATGAGATACTACCTCATATCAGTCAGAATAGCCATTACTAACAAATCAATAAAAAATAAATGTTGGAGAGGATGTGGAGAAAAGGAATGCTATTGCACTGTTGGTAGGAATGCAGACTGGTGCAGCCGCTGTGGAAAACATTATGGAATTTTTTCAAAAAACTAAATATG